CGCCGGTTATAGAACTGACAGCCATATTGGTAACCACGAAAACCTGAAAAGTTGGTATTAGATATTGTTTTGACTAATAACAAAAAATGATTGTTTGAATCAGAAAATGGAGAATTCCGTTTTTTTGCAGTTTCTTGGAACATTTTTCCTACGGTTGATTATAATTAATATATTTCATCAGAAAAACGTTAACATTACCGTATCCTTTTTTTTGAAAATTTCTCTACCTAATTTTGCCAATTTTTTACTGTTTTTTCAGTATTTTGAAAATTCAATCAAAACAACACCGTGAAAAAGCAATTTGAAAGTTATCCATTCCCCAAAGAATTTTCGGAAAAATACTTTGAGAAAAATTTTGGGAACGCATTTTCCCAAAAAAGGAAAATTGTTTAGAGCAAGTTGTCCTAGAAACTTTTTCCAAAACAAGAATAACTAACAATTGAATTTGGAGGTGAATATTGAACAATTGAGTTCAAATTGTTGATATCCAATGGAATGCAAGCAATTGGTTTCTCATCATCGTCTGTACAACTGTCAGCAGTTAAGTATTGGTTGAGCTTGGCGACACAAGATAAACTATTTTCGTTTTTCTGAAAAATTCCAAAATCTCAGTATCGCTTCAAACTATGATGCTTCTTACTGTGTAAAGAGTGGCATTCTCATAATTGTAATTGAAGTTTCTTGCGTAGTCAGTTTCGTTGCAAATCAATTGTCCGATATCTCCATTTTCCCAGATTTTTTGCAATTTTACGTTGTATGAAGCAAGTAGAGAAATGGTTTTTTCAGTTTTCAAACTTGAGTAAACTTGGCTCTTTCCGGACACACAGGACACTAAAACACATTTTTCAAAACAAAGAATCACCAGCGTAGACACAAACCTGGTTCACAATTTCTTCCTAGAAATCCTGGTGGGCAAATACAACGATCCACTTTTACCGGATTCTTTGGCAGGTATCCATCGAATCCAAAGCTTCGACATTTTCGATTCAAACAAAAGTTACCCGTGTAGTCAACATCACATACACATGAACCGTCTTTGTTGTAACTGTCATGTGAACAAAACTGAACGTTGGCTAAAAATTTTGAGTTTATTGTGTGTTTTAAACTACTTTTCAGGTGTCTCACCAACGTCTTCCGTCGCCCTCCAATGATTTGTGAATTCATCTGCCGACGTTGATCTCCATACAATAAAGAGGAGACTAAGAAGAAGTTTGAGATTCATCACTGGAAACAAGACAACAAATTTGTGACAACTGGTGTGTGAAAATCAAAATTCCATATAATCAAACAAAAGGCAATAACAAAGAAAAAATTGAGCAAGTCGAAAAAACTCAAAAAAGAAAGGTAAACTGAAGTAAGAACGGTGTAAAGAATTTATCAATTTAGTCGATGACACTCAACTCCAAAAGTATAAAAACGGCACGCCCTGAAAAAGGCATTTTGAAATGATATTGCCAGTTAATACTCGCTAGCGGTCCAGTCATAAACCAACACTCTTATCGCAAATTGCAGGGAAATGCTCTTTTCTGATGGAGGAGAAGAGCCGTTTTTATAGCTTTTCAGTTTTTGATTAGGACAGTTTTTGATTTGATTTGGTCTGAAACTGACAATTTCGAGCTAACCGTTTTTTGGCTACTGTATTTTCAAAGTAATATCATGGAACAGTAGTAATCAACAAGTGAAATTTGTCTTAGAAGAGCCATGTTTTAAGGTAACTTCTATTACAGGGGTTCTTCCATCTTACCGGCAATTTTTTGTAGAAAATTTTAATCGAAAAATGCGGCAAATTCTCGTTTAAAATTCATAGAAATTTATCAATTTCTCTAAATTTTTTGTGCAAAATTCTCTAAATTGTTTGTGCAACTTTTGTGCAAAATGTGTCTCAACAGTTTTTTAGGAAACGGAAATGCTCAGGAACATTACACCGAAAATGTTGAGTTTACACGGAAATTGTTGATTTTGAAGAATTTATTTTGAATAAAGTTTTTTCCATCAGAGGTTACCATCTATTAGAGGAACTTTTCTATTGAATGGGTAATTTTAATACACGTTACAAGCTGAAACACTTGGTAAATAAGGAAAAATGAAATATCTGTTTGGATGGTTCTTATTGCTGTAATTCGAAAAAAAAAACTGAATCTTTCAAATTCAGTGTTTCTAATCAAACATTTCTTCTGGTAACACCGATCATGAGATCACTTCCGTTCGCACAATCGGAGAGATACGCCCAAAAACAGTTTAAGAATTCAAAAAAAATGACGTCAATATGCTACCCTACTTATTAGATAAGACGCTGAATATTTTTTTGCTTTTTCGGTTCATTCAAAAACTTCTCGAAACTATTTATTGCGTTGATATCAGAGTTTACGGGGCAGAAAAACAAAATTCTATAGTCAACAATTAAGACAAAAATCATGAAAAAAGAAAAGAACATTAACTCTGAAAAAAGGAATCATGATAATCAACACTAAAAAATAGCGGGACGAATATTGATTTAACGGGGGTGGCAAATGACAGCATGAGCAGTGAGAGGGACAAAAATATGCTTCTTAGACGGACCGTGTAGAGCAATCACAGCATAAGGTTGTGCCAATCCAAAGTTATGACAAAACAAAAAAGAATTGAATGACAACTTCAAAAAAAAAAGAAAAATAAGAAAGATGTGATTAATCATACGGAAGAAAACTATAAGTGGTTAAATGAATTGGATGGTAACTGGTGAGAAAATGGTGATTTTTGAGAGGCGGTGCAGGTGTTGGAGCATTAGGCGTGAGTTATTCAGCCAATGGCATTTTAAAGTCTGGATTCTGGAGTCTGATTTGAGAGAAGAGCTCCTCATTCAAATTGCTCATCTCTTGGAAATCCTGAGTTAGCAACTCGAATTGCTTCTGGTACTGCTTCTGCTCTTCAATATCAATCTAGAAATATAATCTTTTTTTAAATACTAAAATGATTCGATACCTCAGACTGTAACAGCAAAACAATTTGCTTCATTGTGCCATTGTTCCTCAACATCTCCAGAATTTCCATGCTGTAGAGGTGAATTCTGGTGAATGACTCCATTGCCAAACGTCCACGATAATGGTCGCAATGCTAAAATGATTTTAAAAGTTGTAAGAGATTTTCAAGAAAGTTCTGACTTGGAGCAGAATATTGTAGATGATAGCACACGCTCTGTTAACAGTGTCATTGTCACGTTCTTCCTGCTTACGAAGAGTTGTTCTTTCCTCCCTCATTTTGAACATCTCATCCTCATGCTTACGAACCATCTCATCCAAATCCTTGCTCCTCTTCTCAAAATCATAGATCTTCCGCCAAGCATTATCATCGATTCTTGCAACTCTTTCCTTCTGGAAAAATTTGGTCAGAGACGAATAATGCGGAAAACGCAAACTCACAAGCTTTTCAGCCATAGCTATATTATCCTCAATACGCTCATCAATGCCTTCCAAAGCAGGCTGCATCTCAGCAACTCTTTT